CGTAGGTTCAAATCCTATCACCCCGACTTTGGAAGGGCTCCGCGACTTCGCGGGGCTTTTTTCGTGCGCAAGCGACATCGAAAATTCCCACTGAAAAAGCGGCCTCTCGGCCGCTCTCTCGGGGGATGCGTTGAACTGTCTTCGCCGTTGCCTTACCGGCGACGGCGCGTCCCGGCGAGGCCGGCGAGGCCGAGCATCGCGGCGGTGGCCGGGGCGGGGATCGTGTGGATGGTGCCGGAGAAGCTGCCGTTGGAGTTGAAGTCGGCGAAGTAGCCCTCCTGTGTCACGGCGGCGCCGGGGTCGATACCGGTGAGGGTCCAGGAGGCGTCCGCGGCGGAGAGGTCCAGGGTCTGGTTCTCGGCGTCGAGGATGCCCTGGAGGAAGGCGCCGATCTCGTACTCGAGCACGCCGCCGTTGACGCTGGCGTTGGCGGTGAGGCTGCCGGACTGGGTCAGGATGAAGGCGGCGCCGCTTGTGCCGTTGAGGCCGTAGGTTCCGCCGAGGATGAGGTTGTTGTCCGAGTCGAGGAACTCGAAGAAGCCGTTGGTGGCGTCGGCGATGAACATGCCGGGGAGGGGCTCGTGAACCTGCCCGAGGTTGACGGTCTTGTTGATCGTGGCGTTCATGAAGGTCGTCGCGCCCATGCCGAACTCCGAGAGGTCGATCTCGAGGTCGACGTTGGTGGAGACGGTGAGCGTGCTGGCCGAGTCGCCTGGGCCGGCGGTGGTGTGGACGACGCTCAGCTCGCCCGGGGGATCGGCGTATTCCAGGAAAATGGCGGCCGCGTCGGCGGCGCCGGCGATCGCGCCGATCGCCACGAGGCTCGTTGCACAAGCACGGATCATGGTGTCTTCCTCTCTCTCTCTGTTGGTCAGAGCTGACTCGGTGTTTCTTCGTTCGTGCCCAGCCCGTGTGCAGCGGCCTGAGCGAAAAATCCCTCGAATGAAGTATGGCACACCGGTCGCGCCATGACAGCATTTCCGGCTTGCGAAGCCTTCTTTTGCCCGATCAAGGGGTCGCTTTTTTGTGGTTTCGGTCGGCTATCGGGTCGTGGGGGGAGCTATCGGACGCGTCAGGATATGGCCGGCCGCTCGATCTGCTCGGCGTCGTCGTTGACCGCGAAGTAGCTGGTGCTGGTGAGCACGGTCGTTCGGACCTGTGGCGACGCGAGGATCAATACAATCCGTGGATATTCGAAGAGTCGGCGCACGAAGCGCCCACGAAGCCAAGGAGCCCCCCACTCATGCCCGGCCACACCATCCGACTTCACCGCGTGTTCAAGGCCCCGCCCGAGCGCGTGTATCGCGCGTTCCTCGAGCCGGAGGCGCTGGTGCGGTGGATGGCGCCGTACGGGTTCACGGCGGCGGTGCACTCGATCGATGCGCGTGTCGGCGGCGGGTACAAGATGTCGTTCACGAACTTCGGGACGGGGAGCACGCACTCGTTCGGCGGGACGTACACGGAACTCGTACCCAACGAGCTGATCCGCTACACGGACGCGTTCGACGACCCGAATCTCCCGGGCGAGATGGCGATGACGGTCTCGTTCAAGAAGGTGATGTGCGGGACGGAGCTGACGATCGAGCAAGCCGGGGTGCCCGAAGCGATCCCGGCGGAGATGTGCTACCTGGGGTGGCAGGAGTCGCTCGAGCAGCTGGCGCGCCTCGTCGAGCCGGAGATCCCGGACGGCGCGTGACGGCGGCGCCCCTGGCTCGCCCGGGGGCGAATGTAGAATGCGGCGGCTTCGGGTCTTCTTTCACGGAGTCTTCGCTTGAATCGCGCCCGCATCGCCGCGTTGCAGTACTTCGTCCGTCCGATCCGCGACTTCTCGGAGTTCCGCGACCAGGTCGCGGGGCTCGTGCACACCGCGGCGGATTACGACTGCGACCTGCTCGTGTTCCCGGAGTACTTCACGGTCCAGCTGCTCACGCTCGGCGACATCCGCCGGCCGATGGACGAGCAGATCCGCGACCTGTCGCGCCGGGTGCCGGATTACCTGGAGGTGTTCGAGTCGCTCTCGCGGTCGTGCGGGATTCACATCGTCGCGGGCTCGATCGCGACGCCCGACCCGGGCGACGCGGAGACGGTCTACAACGACAGCTACTTCTTCGCGTCCGACGGGACGCACTCGCTCCAGGGCAAGCTGAACATGACTCGGTTCGAGAAGGACGTCTGGCGGGTGAGCCCGCGGGACACCCTGCGCATCTTCGAAACGCCGTTCGGGCGGGTGGCGATCACGATCTGCTACGACGTGGAGTTCCCCGAGGTGTGCCGGGCGGCGGCGCAGGCGGGGGCGGTGATCCTCGTGGTGCCGAGCTACACGGACGACCGGCAGGGGTTCGTGCGCGTGCGGTACTGCGCGCAGGCGCGGGCGATCGAGAACCAGATGTTCGTGGTGAACGCGGGGACGGTCGGGTCGCTGCCCTCGGTGCCGGCGGTGTCGCTCAACTACGGGCAGGCGTCGATCCTGACGCCGAGCGATTTCCCGTTCGCGCGCGACGGGGTGCTCGCGGAGGGGATCCCGAACCAGGAGACGATGGTGATCGGCGAGGTGGCGCTGGACGTGCTGCGGCGCAACCGCGCGCACGGAACGGTGCGCCCGCTCCTTGACAGCAAGACGATGAAGACGCCTCGGATCGAGCCGGTCGCGCTTCCGGTCGCGGGGAGCGCTCCGTCGCCGCCCAGGCCGCAGCGTCCGCGCCGTCGGATCGTGATCCGCAACGCGGCGCCGGAGCACTTCAAGGGGATCGCCGAGATCGCGAGCCTGATCTATCCGGACATCACGCCGTGGAGCGACGAGTACCTCGAGTCGCACCTCAACGTGTTCCCGCAGGGGCAGATCGTGGCGATCGAGCAGCGGACGGGGCTCGTCGTGGGCGTGTGCTCGGGGCTCGTCATCGACTGGGACAAGCAGCCGGACACGAGCACGTGGAACGCGCTGACGGCGGGCGGGATGTACACGAACCACGACCCGATCAACGGGAGCACGCTCTTCGCGGCGGACGTGATGGTGCGGCCCGGGTTCCAGGGCTCGGGGATCGGGCGCCGGCTGTACGACCGCGGGCGGTTCGACCTGGCGAGGCAGCTCGGTCTCTGGCGGATCGTGGCAGGGTCGCGGCTGCGCGGGTACCACCGGTTCGCGGAATCGATGTCGGCCGAGGAGTACGTCGTCGAGGTGGTGAATGGGCGGCTCAACGACCCGACGCTCTCGTTCCAGCTGCACCTGGGGTTCCGCGTGACGGGGGTGGTGAGCGGGTACTTCGGGGGGGACCCGGAGAGCCGGGGGTGGGCGGCGGTGATCGAGTGGCTCAACGACGAGGTCGCGGGACCGGACGACCACCTGCGTGGCGACCCGCGGTTTGCGCCGGAGAAGTAAAAATGCGATTGGGGTGGATTTGCTCTTGCCCGGGGTGATGGGTGTCGTATTCTCCCGCCTTGATGATCGCCGCCCCGCCCCGACGCGTCCGCGGACCAGTGTGGTCCCGGCGCAGCGGGCTCCGAACCCAGGGCCGGCGGCGTCACACCAAGGGCTCACGCCCGATGATGCATCCCGATACCGAGCTGCGGTTCATCAGTCCGGAGGTTGGGCACGGCGTCGTGGCGACACGCGACATCCCCAGGGGCACGATCACCTGGGTCCAGGACGAGCTGGACCGGGCGTTCACGCCGGATTTCGTCGCGTCGCTCGACCCGATCTACGCCGGGCATCTCGATACGTACTGCTTCCGGAACCACCGCGGGCACTGGATCCTGTGCTGGGACCACGCGCGGTTCGTGAACCACTCGTTCCGCTCGAACTGCATGACGACGGCGTACAACTTCGAGATCGCGATCCGGGACATCCGGGCGGGCGAGGAGCTGACGGACGACTACGGGTACCTCAACATCATGACGCCGTTCGAGGCGGTGGACGAGGGGTGCGACCGGACGGTGGTGTACCCGGACGACCTCGTCCGGTACCACGCGATGTGGGACCGGACGCTCCGGGCGGCGTGGCCGGCGATCCCGACGGTCGCGCAGCCTCTGAGAAGGCTGCTCGAGCGCGGTCTGTGGCCGCGTGTCGGACGGATCGCGCGGGGTGAGGAGGCGATGGCCTCGATCCTGGGGTGCTATTACGACCGGAGTGAGGTTGTCGTGCGCCGGGGCGGCGCGGCCGCTGAGCGTGGCCGGTAGCGCGACCCACGACCCGTCTCTCTCAAAGCACAAAGAGCCGGCCCCATCGCGACGGGGCCGGCTCCGGAAGATTCAGGGGTGATCCGATCGGTGACCGATCAGCGTCGGCGGCGTGCCGCGGCGAGGCCGGCGATGCCCGCGAGGGAGACGGCGCCCGGGGTCGGGATGACGAGCCAGGTGCCGACGATCTGGGCGGTGGGCAGGTCGGGCAGGTTGTCGGCGGGGAAGTAGATGTTGCCGCTCAGGTTGCCGGCGAGCATGTCGGCGTAGTCATCCGGCTGGAGGCTGAACACGGCGGAGCCGGTGAAGGCGAGCTGGCCGGCGGTGAAGGAGCTGGTGGAGCTGGTCGAGTACGAAAACACGTTGAGGCCCGGGTCGGTCGTGCCGGAGCGGAAGAGGTTCGGCGAGAGGTCCGAGGGGTTGTTGGCCGTGGTGAGGTTGCCCGAGATGAGCGTCTCGTTGAGGGCGGTCGCGCCGGGGCCGCTGTAGAAGCCGGCGAAGTAGAAGCCGGTGGTGGTGCTGCCCGACACGGTCGCCATGGAGACGCCGTTCGTGGCGGTGAGGGTGATCTGGTTCGGGACCGTCAGGTCGATCTCGATCAGGTGACTGGCCTGGGCGGAACCGGCCAAAGCGGCGACCGCGGCGGCGAGGCTGAGCCCGCCCATGGTGAAGTTGAGAGACATGTGTTTCACTCCCTACCTGCTCTTGGGTTGTCTGCAGGTTGCACAGAGGCAGTTCGACCCGGCGACGTGCCGGGTGCGATTGACGTATTTGGGAAGCTACGTCGGAAAATCGTTCGGGCAATAAGAAGATTGAAACAATTGAATCGGCGGATCGGCTCTCAAGGCGTCTGAGCAGGGATTCGGGGCGGGTTCCGCGACCCCGGTTTGCTCACAGTTTTGCTGAGACATACGTGCCGATTCGAGTTGATTCCGGAGGCTTCGGGCACATCGATCGAACGACGGTTCGGGCGTGGCTGCCCGCCCCTTTCGTGCGGTGGCCGGCCTGGCTCCCATCCGGTTCGACCGGGTCTCGAGGTCGCACGCTGGCGGTCGAGGTCACCGTCCTGTGAGAAGCGTGGCCAGTTTCGCGATGACGAGCAGCGGGACCGCGATCACGGAAAACACGGTGCCCGGCAGGGCCTGCCTCAGGGGTTGGAAGCGATCGTCTTCGGCTTGCGGGAGCCCGGCTGTCAGGGCGCGGAGGGCGCGGTGACCGAGCATGGTGGTGTAGGCGAGCAACAGCGTCGACCACCAGAGGAGGGTCGAGAAGGTCGTCGAGACGATGAAGGTGACGGTGATGATCGTGGTGAGGGGCGGCTGGTCGGGCGCGGTGAGGCCGCGGATACCGGCGATCGCGTGCCGGAGCGATTCGGCGTAGCCACTCGGGGAGAAGGCCCGGCGCAGGACGGGGAGGAAGCGGTCTTCGCGCGCGATATCGACCGCGATGTGCGCAAAGAGGAAGGCGATGGCGAGGCCGAAGATCATGATGACGACGGAGAGGAGCAGGTCGAGGAGGCCGTAGGCGACGGCGCTCCGGAGCGTGCGCCGGCCCCTTGTGAACCTGGTGAGCAGTCCGAGGGTGATGCGGTAGGAGAACAGGTCGAAGAGGGCGTTGATGAACATGATGCCGACGCAGCAGGAGAAGATGATCGTCGAGAGCCCCTCGGAAAAAACGGAGACGTTGTTCGGGGGCAGGGCGAGGACGGTCTGAAAGACCGAGCCCATGAGGTAGGCGGAGAGGAGCATGGCGCAGACCAGGCGGAACCGGAGGTCGATGAACCGGAGGCCCCTCCAGAGGGAGAAGAGCACGAGGAGGAGGAATCCGACGAAGAGCGCCCAGGCGAGGAGTGTCTGCTTGCCGAGGAGCCAGATCTGGAAGGACGCGACGCAGAGCCCCGAGACGGAGATGCTGAGGACGGCGAGACGGGCGCGGGCGAGTTCGCGGGGGTTGTCCCGGTCCCAGGAGGGGTAGGTGAGGAACCGGATGAGATAGCCGGCGACGCCATCGAGGATCTCTCGCGCGTTCATTCGTTGGGCCTTGCGGAGGCGGTTGTAGATCCTGCTCAGCCGGTCGCGCCGGCCCTCCGCGTCGGCGGCGCGTGCGACGCCGTCGATGGCGGGCCCGACGATGGCGACGGCCGCGAGGAACACAATGAACACAACCCAGTCCACGATCACCTGTTCAAGCAACGGAGGTGTCGGCGTGCGAGATCGTCTCGCGAGCGGGCCCTTCGCCTTGTGCAGTTTACGCGGTGCGCGGCTTGAGCAGGCGTGCGCCTCGTTGCCCTTTGGTCGAGAATCGTGCGCGCTGTCACGCCGGCGTGTCTCGCGGTACGCTCACCCGAACGGCGCACCGTTATTCACGAATCGGTGTCGGATTCGGACGGGTGACGCCGCGACCACGCGTCGAGCGCGGTGCGAGAATCCGATGAGCCTCCGAGCCGAGATCCGAGCCTGGGACGCGAAGTCGACGGCGCCGTTGGAAGCGGTGTATTCGCGTGAGCGCGGGTCGCGCGGCCTCGTGACGCGTCTCGTTTCGCTGTGCGGTGATCCGGAATGCGAGCGCGGGGCGACGTGGCTCCTTAAGCACCAGATGGAACGCGGTGGCGAGATCCCTTCCACCAAGTCGTGCGGCGAGCTGTTTGCGCACGCTCGGGGATTTGTGCACTGGGAGTCACGGCTGCACGTGCTCCAGGTGATGGGGTGGCTCGAGCTGCCGGAGTCCGCGGCGGGAGATATCGAAGCGTTTCTCGAGGCGTGCCTCGATGAAACCAACACGTTCGTTCGCGCGTGGGCGTACAGCGGGTACGCGGAACTGGCCCGACAGCACCCCGAGTTCCGCGAGGAGGCGGAGGCGTTGCTGGCGGACGCGCTGGAGCACGAGGAGAAGGCGTCGATCCGGGCGCGGGTGCGGAAGGTGCTCAAGAGCGGGTTCTGAAGCGTTGAAAGACCGCCCCGCTCCTCTCGGAATGGGGCGGCGTGCGTTCTGCGGAATCGCGTTGGGTGACCGATCAGCGGGCGGCGCGCCAGTCGGCGATGAAGCTCTGGCGGTCGGCGCTGTTGGTGACGCCGTCGCCGTTGTAGTCGGCGGCCGGGGTGCGGTTGCGGTACTCGGCGATAAACGCGTCGCGGTCGGCGCGGTTGATGGCGCCGTCGGTGTTGAAGTCGGTCTTGTGGTAGACGCGGAAGGAGAGGCTCAGCTCGCCGGCGGCGGGGATGGTCTGGTAGGCGCCGGCGTTGAAGTCGGCGCTCACGGCGTAGGTGCCGGCGTAGAGCCAGCCGACGAACTCGGTGTCGTCGTCGCCCGCGCCCTGGACGGCGAAGGAGGCGAGGGTCGGGCCGCCGACCTCGCGGAGGGAGGCGCCGGCGGTGAAGTAGCTCTGGACGTAGCCCTCCGCGTAGCCCTCGAAGACGACGCGGACGTCGTCGAGGACCTCGAACTCGACGGAGGTGTCGCCGATGACCGAGGCGTCCGCGGAGTAGATGTTCTGATCGATGACCTCGGCGGTGCCGAAGTACTCGAGTTCGATGCGCTGGTCGGTGATGTTGGAGTAGATCATCCCGTCGGCGTTGGCGATGTCGTTGCCGTAGTAATCATCGAGATCGGCGATGATCTGGTAATCGTAGAAACCGGAAGTGGCCTGGGAGGACTGGCGGTCGCCGGCGCAGTCGTTGAACTCGTAGTCGAAGCCGCAGGCGATCACGAAGAGCTCGCGGTCGGCGGAGAGGACGTCCATGGTGGCGGTGGACTGGGCGAGAGCACCGGCGGCGGCGCTGCCAAGGACGGCGGCGGTGATGAGGGTCTTCATGTGAGTGTTCCTTGATTCAATGTGTGTGCGATGCCACGACACGACGCGTGACGGGCGGACGGTACCCGGCGCGCGTTGCGGTGCTGTTGGGCGATGATCAAGGGGGTGTTCGGATGTGTTGGGGATTGGGCGGAGGCGTGAAGCGGCGCTCACGGGAGTGAGACAACGCTCGCTCCCCTGAAGTCAAAGGCGGGCGCGACGGTCCTCATGCGTCCGCAGCGTCCGTCCGTGACGAGGCCGCGTGCGTTTGCGTTGACGCGTCGTGGTGGTGCGTCGTTCAGCCGGCCGTCGCGACGAGGCCCATGCGCTGCAGCGCCGTGCGCATCTGCTCCCAGCGTTGCTCGAGGGTGCCTGTGTAGCCGATGGAGACGCGGACGAGGCCCGGCGCGATCCCCGCCTTGACGAGCTCTTCCTCGGGCATCTCGCTCGAGGTGGAGGACGCCGAGCATGACATGAGGGTTTCGCTGTAACCGAGGCTCACGGCCATGAGCCCGAAGCGGAGCTCGTTTTGGAGGAGAGACATAAACTCGAACGCGCGATCGCGCGTGCCGAGATCGACGGTGAAGATCCCGCCCGCGCCGAACGCCGGGTTGGCGAGTTCCTTGAGCAGCTCGTGATCGGGGTGCGACGGCAGGCCGGGGTAGGTGACGTCCAGGTTCAGGTCGGCGAGGCGTTCCGCGAAGGCCTGGGCGCGTCGGCTGTGCTCGGCCATGCGGAGGCCGAGGTGGGGCAGGCGGAGGCTGATGTCGGACGCGACCACCGGGTCCATCGCGGGACCGAGGAGCATGAGCGATCCCATGCGGAGGTCCATGAGCTGCATGATGAAGTCGGTCGAGCCGCAGACGGCGCCGGCGATGTGGTCGCTCGCGCCGTTCATGAACTTGGTGAGGCTGTGGACGACGATATCGGCGCCGTGCTGGAGGGGGGAGAGGATGAGCGGGGTGAAGGTGTTGTCGACGACGAGGGTCGCGCCGCGGTCGTGCGCGATCTTCGCCAGCGCCGGGATGTCCGCGACGCGGAGCGTGGGGTTCGAAACGGTTTCGCAGTAGAGGACCCGGGTGTCGGGCGAGAACGCTCGGGCGACCTCGTCGAGGTCGGTGAGGTCAACGAACGTCGTGCTGACGCCGGCCTTTGCGGGGAGGTACTCGCTCATCAGCGCGAAGGATCCGCCGTAGATGGCGCGCCCCGCGACGATGTGGTCGCCGGTGTCGCAGAGCTGCATGACGGCGGCGGAGATCGCGGCGAGCCCGCTGGCTGTGCAGTACCCGGCCTCGGCGCCCTCGTAGGCGGCGATCTGTTTGCCGAGGACGTAGACGGTGGGGTTGAAGTGCCGGCCGTAGAGGTAGCAGCCGCCGACCTCCGGGCCGCGCTGCCCCTGGAAGATCTCGGGCATGGTGCCGGGCTCGATGACGGTGAAGGTCGTGCTGGCCTCGACGGACATGTTGACGCCGCCGTGCTCGCCGAATTCGTGGCGCATATTCGCGAATGACGCGATGGGGTCGAAGTGATTCATGGCGCGATGGTAGCGAGGAACGCGGGACCGATTGCCCGGGGCGTGTCGCGTCCCGGTCTGCTTTGAGGCGCCGGCGGGGTATCAATCAGGTGCGGGCCTGATCTTTCCGCACAACGAGCTCGGTTGGTTCAGTTCTCGACCCGGCTCAGCAGCGGCAGCACCACCGCGTGATCCAGCTTCGACACCTCGTGCACCTCGACGTCGCCGTAGCGCTTCGTGTAGACGCGGAGGCCTGAGCCGGCGGGGATCTTGGGGGTGTCGATCGCTTTGTGGACGAAGAACGCGAGGACGGGTTCGCCGTCTTCGGTGCGGGCGAGGAGGGTGCGGCCCGGGTGGTCCGGGCTGTCGTAGCTGCCGAAGAGGCCGCGCCAGCCGATGAGCTCGACGGGCGAGGTGAACGCGGCGGTGATCGTCGTGCCGAAAGCGTCGCGGGTGTAGGCCTCGAACTCGTCGGGGGTGGAGCAGACGTGCTCGGGGCTCATGTGTGGGGTGATGCTGGTGTAGAGCTGGCCGGTCTGGATCACCGGCGTCTCGGGGCGTGCGGCCTGCCACCACACGCCGGCGAGGATCGCGATGACCGCGGCGTAGCCGAGGGAGCGTGCTTTGAAGCCGATGCGGCCGGCGACGGGCGCGGCGTTTTCGTCCGGGACTGACTCGGGGGCGGTTGCGGGGGGGAAGGCGGCTTTGAGTGCGGAATCGATCGTGCGCATCGATTCGAGGGCGGCGCGGAGGTCCGGGTCGCGCTCGGCGCGCTCGATCTCCTCGGGCGTGGCTTCGCCGTCCAGGATGCGTTGGATCGGTTCGGGCATGTCGTGTTCGTGGTCAGGCATCGGCGGGCCTCGCGTATTCGGGCGCGAGCGCCTTGAAGATTCGGTTTCTGGCGCGGTGGACGTGGCTCCGCGCGGTGGCTTCTGGCAATTCGAGCATAGCGCCGATCTCGGCGTAGCTGTGCTCGAGGGTGACGCGGAGGAGCAGGGCGCTGCGCATCACGTCCGGGAGGGATTCGACGGCGGAGGCGAGGTCCTTGGTGAAACGGCCCTCGTCCTTGATCTGCAGCGCGGGGTGGGCGAGGGGCTTGTCCGTCTTTGGCGTGATGCCCTCGCGTCTCGAGTCGGCGAAATCTCTGAATTCGTCTCGCACGCGCTTTTTTCTCTGCTCCTTGCGCCGGTGATTGCGCCCCGCGCCCCGGACGATGGCGGCGAGCCACGCGCGGAAGTCCGTCCCGGGCGTGAATCGGTCGAGCCGCGTCTGGGCGATGATGGCGGCGTCCTGCACAACGTCCTCCGCGGATGAGGGGCCGACCTCCGAGGCGGCCACGAGCACGAGCGACGCGTAGTTCGCGCGGAACAGCTCGCCGAACGATCGGGCGTCGAGCTGCGCGGCGGTCACGCCGGGATCGGGCCGGGATGTGGCGGTCGGCTCGTTCAACGGGTCTTACGATCTGGTCGTCCGTGGGTCCTCGAGGCGTCCTCTCCGATCGGATCAAGCGTACCGCGTCCCCCGAGTTTCCGGGGTGTGTAGACGGAAGCGTGTCGCGATTCGGGGGGTACTCCGCTCGGACGCACGGCGAACGGGATTGTCGGGCGGGCCCGTTGGGTGAGCCCGGGTGAGAACACCGCCAGGCGGATGTCTCCGGCCAGCGGGCTCCTCGCGGCGGTTCGATGCCGGTTGGAGAGATTGAGGGCCGCGAGGCCGAAATTGAGGGCCGGTCCCGCGAACACATTTCAAGGTCGTTTGGTGTGTGTTTCGTTGCTTGTTGGCACAGAAATCTGCACCTGTCGACCAAAAAAACACGCCCGCTGTGCGAAGCGGGCGTGTTCCGAGGGGGACTCTCGACAGGAGATCAGTGGCGACGGCGGCGGACGGCGCCGAACGCGGCCAGGCCGGCGAGGCCCGCGGCGCCGGGGGCGGGGATGACCGTGGCGGTCAGCTCGCCGATGGCGACGGCGGAGTTTTCGGGGCCGTTGTTGATGAGTGAGATGCGGGTGATGGAGTCGCCCAGGAAGTCGGCGGCGTCGAGGGTGAAGGTGGAGTAGCCGGCGTTGGAGATGTCGAGGGTGGCCTCGATGCCCAGCTCGGTCCAGATGAGGAGGGTGCCGTCGGCGTCGAGGAGATCCGTCGGGACACCGCCGAAGTTGGTGCCGGGGTTGGTGCCGGTGGTCATGCCGGTTTCGCTGCCGCGGACCTGGAGGGTGAGGGCGTCGATGGTCCCGGCGTCGAATGAGATATCCGACCGGCCCGCGCCGATGACGCCGTAGGCGCGGTTGTTGGCGATCGGGCCGCCCAGATTCGCGAGGCCCTGCGCGGAGAGCGGGTTGCTCGTGGCGGGCCCGGCGCCGCCGACGTAGAAGCCGCCGATCTGGAAGAAGAGGGTCTGGCCGGCGTTGGCGGTGCTGGCGAAATCGCCGTTGGCGTTGTTGAGCTCGCCGAAGGTCGTGAAGTCGGCGAACGCGTTGAGGACGGCGGCGTCCGGCGTGCTCTGTCCGGCGGCGATGCTCGGGCCGAAGACGGTGGTGGCGGAATCCAGACCGGCGAGGGCGGCCGAAGCGATGACGGTGGACGCGGCGACCGCGCCGAGGTGCATGGGTTTCATGACTCTTTCTCCTGGTGTGCGAGATGTTCGGGGCCGCGACATCCGCGGCGAGGTCCACCGCCGCGCGACGGTGCGAGGCCGGTGTCCCTGTGTGTGGAGAAAGGTCGGGCGCGCGTGCGAGCGTTGCGAGTGCGCGAAAAAAAAGCCCGCGTGGTGCGCGGGCTCGTGTGTGTCGCCTGGGCTTTGGGATCGATCAGGCGGCCTGCGCCTTGGCGAGTGTTTCCTTGATGCGCTGGTTGAGCACGTCGGGCGTGAAGGGCTTGATGACGTAGTTGTTGACGCCGGCCTTGATGGCCTCGATCACGCGGGACTTCTCGCCCTCGGTGGTGACCATGATGACGGGCGTGGTGGCGCCGGAGCCTCGGTACTCCTTGATGAACGTGAGCCCGTCCATGTTGGGCATGTTCCAGTCGAGGAGGATGAGGTCGGGCGAGAAGCTGTTGACCTTGCTGAGCGCGTCGAGGCCGTCGCACGCCTCTTCCATGGCGGTGACGCCGAGCTGCGTGAGGATCGACTTCTGGATGTTGCGCATCGTTTTCGAATCGTCGACGAGCAGGACTTTCATGGTGGATCTCCTGGTGGAATCGGGATCGGGCTCAGGCGGAAGCGCTCGCCGATGAGGTGACGGTCTTGGCGGGGTCGGTCTCGCGGAGGGCGATCTCGACCGCGAACACACCCGCGCCGCAGGTGCAGGGGATGCCGATGCAGACGGTGTCCTTGTGGCCGTGGACGATGTGTCCCTCGCCGACGACCACGGTCGGGCAGCTGATCGAGATGTTGCTGGAGTTGAGGAGCGTCTTGGCGCCGCCGGCGACCATGTTGACGAGCTCGCCGACGGCGTCGGTGAAGTCGTCGTCGTCGACCTTGAACTCCATGCCGGTGAAGGCCTTGATGACGTTGATGGCGGTGTCGCTCGAGAAGCTCAGGACGCAGGTGCCCTCGATGCCGCCGGTCATCGCGATGATGCCGGAGATGTCGTGCGCGGCCTTCTTGGTCTTCTTGATGGCGGGTGTGCCGACCTCGATGTCCAGCTGGAGCATCGTGGAGAAGGTGTTCTTGGTGCTCTTCACGAAGGCGAGAATATGATTCTGGTCCACGAGTCTCTCCGAGTCTTGAAGTGAAGCGCACTGGGTCGCGCAGTGGAAAGGGGACACGCACAGAGTCGCCCTTGTGAGCGAACCATCGGCCCGCGCCGGAGGCGTCTTGATCGATATCTGTGGCGAGCGGCCTCTTCGACCCGCGTGCGGGACTCCCTGAATCGGGCCCCCGGGGCATGGAACCACTCAATTCCGAGGGCTCTGGTAGCCTTCCGTCATGAGCACCTCACACCGGGGGATCACCGTCCGAGCGTTCCAGGACCTGATCCGCGAGCGCTATTACCAGACCGACGCCGCTCGCGGCGCGAGCGGGACGTTCCTGTGGTTCGCGGAGGAATTCGGCGAGCTGGCGTCCGCCATCGCGGCGTCCCAGAAGGGCGAGGCGATGTCGCCTGAAGAGCGGGCGAATCTGGAAGAGGAGTTCGCGGACGTGATCGCCTGGCTCGCGACGCTCGCGAACATCACGGGGGTGGACCTCGAATCCGCGCTGTCCAAGTACACCACGCCGGGGCGGGTGGAGGGGGTCAAGGACTGATGGCGGCGAACCGCGTGGAGCGTGCCTTCGAGGAGGCGGCCGAGAAGGGGTGGGACGCGCTGCTCATGCCGTTCGTGTGCGCCGGGGACCCCTCGCTCGAAGTGACCGAGCGGTGCCTTGTCGAGTTCCCGCGGGCCGGGGCGTCGATCGTGGAGGTGGGCATCCCGTTCAGCGACCCGATCGCGGACGGGCCGACGATCTCCTCGGCGATGCACCGGGCGTTGGGGTCGGGGGTTGGCGTGCGTGACGTGCTCGGGGCGGTCAAGCGGGCGCGGTCGGGGACGGACGCGGCGTTCGTGGCGATGGTTTCGTGCTCGATCGCGCGCCGGTTCGGGGCGGGGGCGTTCGCCGGCATGCTCGCGGGGGCGGGGTTCGACGGGGTGATCTACCCGGACCTTCCGCTCGAAGAGTCGGAGCCGTTCGCGGCCCCGGCGCGGTCGGCCGGCCTCACGGTGAGCCTGCTGGTCTCGCCGGCGACGCCCGGTGGGCGGGCCCGATCGATCGCGGGGGCGTCGAGCGGGTTCGTGTACGCGATGGCGCGGGTGGGGATCACGGGCGGGGAGGGCTCGGGCGGCCCCGGTGATCTTTCGGGGTACCTGGGCGGGCTCCGGGAGGCGTCCGGCGTGCCGGTGGCGTGCGGTTTCGGGGTGAGCAGCGCGGAGGAGGTGCGCGCGGTCGCGCGTCTCGCGGACGGGGTGATCGTGGGCTCGGCGATCGTGAAGGCGATGGCCACGGCGCACGGGCGCGGAGAAGACGCGTCGGGTGCGGGGATCGAGCTGGTTCGGTCGCTGGCGTCGGCGGCGCACGGGGCGTGCGCGCCGTGAGGTCTTTGCGGAGAGTGCCTCCGGCGTGTTATATTGCGTTGCTTCTCGGGGAGACGTGTCTGTCTCCCGGCGTCGACGCTTCTCTCTGGGCGGGGTGAGCTCGGCGCTGCAGTCGAACGCACATCCGATGAGATGATCACGCCTCGGGATCGGGATTCCGGGAGCGCGGCGAGGGAGAAGCATGAACGAGTTCAACGCACGGACGGTCGCACTCAACCACGTTGCCGGTTGGGAGCAGGAGCACGATTTCTCCGGCCCACCTACGACGCGTGAGGGGGCGGACAAGCTGTTCGGGCGGGACGTGTTCTCGCTGAAGGTGATGCGCCAGCGGCTGCCGAAGGAGGTTTTCCGGCACGTCTCCAAGACGATCCGCGAGGCGAAGCCGCTCGACCCGAGCGTGGCGAGCACGGTCGCGAACGCGATGAAGGACTGGGCGATCGAGAACGGCGCGACGCACTACACGCACTGGTTCCAGCCGCTGACGGGTCTGACGGCGGAGAAGCACGACGCGTTCCTGTCGGTCGATGGCCAGGGCAACGCGATCAGCGAGTTTTCCGCGAGCCAGCTGGTGCAGGGCGAGCCGGACGCCTCGAGCTTTCCCTCGGGCGGGGTGCGGGCGACGTTCGAGGCGCGCGGGTACACCGCGTGGGACCCGACGAGCCCGGTCTTCCTGCGTCGGGTGGGCAAGAGCGTGACGCTGTGCATCCCGACGGCTTTCGTCTCATTCAACGGCGAGGCGCTGGACAAGAAGACCCCCCTGCTGCGGTCGATCGACGCGGTCTCCGAGCAGGCGATGCGGGTGGTGAAGTTCTTCAGCCCGCAGTCGCGTGCGACGCGCGTGTACTCGACGTGCGGCGCCGAGCAGGAGTACTTCCTGCTCGACCGGCACCTGTACCTGGCCCGCCCGGACCTGACGCTCTGCGAGCGGACGCTCTTCGGGGCCTCGTCGCCCAAGGACCAGCAGCTGGACGATCACTACTTCGGGACGATCGCGGACCGCGTGCAGGCGTACATGGAGGACTGCGAGCGTGAGCTGTACCTGCTCGGCGTCCCGGTGAAGACGCGTCACAACGAGGTGGCGCCGGCGCAGTTCGAGATCGCGCCGATGTTCGAGCACGCGAACGTGGCGTGCGACCACCAGCAGCTCGTGATGCGGGTGCTCCGTTCGCGGGCACACCGTTTCGGGCTCGAGTGCATCCTGCACGAGAAGCCCTTCGCGGGCGTGAACGGCTCGGGCAAGCACGTGAACTGGTCGCTCTCGACGAACACGGGCGTGAACCTGCTCGACCCGCGTGACGAGACGCACTCGAACATGCAGTTCCTGGTGTTCCTCTGCGCGGTGATCCGCGCGGTGGACCTGCACTCGGGGCTGCTCCGGGCGTCGATCGCGAACCCGGGCAACGACCACCGCCTGGGCGCGAACGAGGCGCCGCCGGCGATCATCTCGATCTTCCTGGGCGACATGCTCCAGGACATCATCGAGCAGATCGAGAAGGGGACGCCGAAGTCGACCATGAAGGGCTCGCGGCTGGACCTGGGGGCGAACTCGCTCATGCAGATCCCGCAGGACACCGGCGACCGGAACCGGACGTCCCCCTTCGCGTTCACGGGCAACAAGTTCGAGTTCCGCGCGGTGGGGTCGAGCGCCTCGATCGCCTGGCCCAACACGGTGCTCAACACGATCGTGGCCGAATCGATCGACCACATCATCAGCGAGCTGGAAACCGCGGCGGGCAAGGACCCGACGGACGCCAAGAAGAAGTCGGCGGTGAAGCGGGTGCTCAAGGACGTGATCAAGAAGCACAAGCGCGTGATCTTCTCGGGCGACAACTACACGGAGGCGTGGGCGAAGGAAGCCGAGAAGCGCGGGCTCCCGAACCTGCGTGACACCCCCGCGGCGCTCGCGATGCTCGCGGAGAAATCGAGCAAGGACGTCTTCAAGAAGTACCACGTGCTGAGCAACGTCGAGCTCAACGCCCGGCGCTTGATCCACCTGGAGCAGTACGCGAAGCGCATCCACATCGAGGCGAGGACGTCGCTGCACATCGCCCGGACGCTCGTGATGCCGGCGGCGCTCCGCTTCCAGACGGAGATGGCGGAGAACATCGCGGCGATGCAGGCGGCGGACGTGGATTGCGAGGACACCCGCGTCGCGCTGGAGGATTTCGCGGACCTGGTCGTCCGCCTCCGCTCGACGGCCGCGGCGCTGGACGAGTCGCTCAACGGGATCGATCACGAGGAGCCGGAAAAGACGGCTTTGCACATGCGTGACGCGGTCTTCCCGGCGATGAACGACCTCCGCGAGGTGGTCGACGAGCTGGAGGGCGTGACCTCGAACGATCTGTGGCCACTGCCGACGTACCGCGAGCTGCTGTTCATGCGGTAAACCGAGCCTCCGAAGGGAACTTTGAGCCACCCGATCACCGGGTGGCTTTTTTCTTGGACGTTGGATCTCCCACCGGAATCGGCGGTTATCTCGTCGAGTCCTGCGGTGATGTGTCGACGTGGCTTATCCAGCCATCGCTCTGTGCCGATCAGAGCCCGGCAATCCCGCATTTATTGCCTCGCCATCCGGATTCGCCCCGGATCCACATCGCGAGACGTGCTCAGACAGCCAACAGAAGACGAGGTCGAAACGATGAAGTTCACCATCCGGATGAAGCTCTGGCTCGGGTTCATGGCCATCGCACTGCTGGGCATCGGCGCCGCTGGCTTTGCCGCGTACAAGGCCTCGAACGTGAACGCTGAGGTCCGCGAGATGGCCGAGTTGCGGAACGAGGAGCTCTTCTGGGCGCTCCGGGGCGACCTGTTCCTGCTCCAGGCGCGGACGGACGTCCGGGCGCTGCGGGCGAACCGGTCCAAGGCGGACTACGACGCCGCGGTGGAGCACGCCGGCGAGTTTCAGGACGCGGTGAAGAGCATCGCGGAGATCGAGCGTCCGCAGGATTTCTCTGCGGAGATCGAGTCGATGCTCTCCGGCGCTGATGAGCTGAAGCGACGGATCGGTGTGATCTACGACGCGGTGGCGAAGCTCGGCGCCGGAGAAGAGGACGGGCTGAACCACACGCTGCAGCTCGCCGAGGCGGAGCTGTACTCGCGGGCGTACGACACGCGCGACGAGGAATTCATGGTGCTCCTGCAGGACACGATCATCTCGGGCAAGGAAGCGATCCGCTACGACAGCGAGATGGCGCACGAGAAGTTCAACACGGCGTGGGGCGCATTCAAGCAGTACTACGACGATTACTCCCTCATCCTCGAGGACACGCCGGGTCTCACGGAGGCCCTCACGGCGTACCACGAGTTGTACGAGGACTTCCGGCTCACCGACGACCTCATCGACGAGGAGACCGCGCGGTACTCTCAGCTGGGCGACCGCCTGAACGACGAGATCGACGCGCTGCGGGACATCTTCTACGAGCAGTTCCACGGCTCGAAGGCCGCCGCGCTCGGCGACCTGGCCTCGTTCAGATCGATGATGATCGGCTGCATCGGGGTCGTCGCGTTTTTCGCACTGGTGATCGCGAGCTTCAGCGTCCGGACGATCACGAAACCGCTGATGGCGCTGCGGAGCATCATGTCCGACATGGCCAGCGGCAAGAAGGACATGAGCAACCGTGCCGACGACAAGCGGTCCGACGAGCTGGGCGACGTGGCGAAGGCGTTCAACACGTTCGTCGAGCAGCTCCAGGTCTCGCAGGAGCGGGAGCGTGAACAGTCGGACGACCTCAAGGACAAGGTCACGAAGCTGCTCTGCGTCGCGCAGTCGGCCTCCCAGGGCGACATGACAGCCGAGAAGCCCTACGAGAGCGAGGACGACATGGGCCAGCTCGCGAACGGGTTCGACGAGATGTTCGACAACATCTCCGGCGTGCTCAACGAGGTCATCGCGGGTTCGGCGCAGATCGACACCGGCGCCCAGCAGTTCGCCAGCGCGAGCCAGCAGCTGTCCGAGGGCGCGTCGCAGCAGGCGGCGAGCCTGCAGCAGATCGCCGCGTCGCTCGAAGAGGTGTCCTCGATGATCTCCCAGAACGCCGAGAACGCGAAGCAGGCGTCGGCGCTGTCCTCGGAATCGCAGCAGAACGCCGACCGCGGCGCCGAGGAGATGGAGGAGATGAACAAGGCGATGGACTCGATCAAGGAGAGCTCGGAAGAGATCTCCAAGATCATCAAGGTGATCGACGACATCGCGTTCCAGACGAACCTGCTCGCGCTGAACGCGGCCGTCGAGGCGGCGCGGGCGGGCGAGCACGGCAAGGGCTTCGCCGTGGTCGCCGAGGAGGTCCGCTCGCTGGCGATGCGCTCCGCTGAGGCGGCGAAGAACACGGCGGAGATGATCGAAGAGTCCGTCGAGCGGGCCAACAACGGCGTGCAGATCGCCGGGCGCGTGGGCGAGGCGCTGAACGAGATCGTCGGCTCGTCCCGAAAGGTCAACGCCCTGCTTTCCGAGATCGCCAGCGCGTCCACCGAACAGGCCGAGGGCATCGACCAGGTGAACAAGGGCGTGAACGAGCTCGACAAGGTCACCCAGCAGAACGCCGGGAACTCCGAGGAGCTCGCGGCGGGCGCCCAGGAGACGGCGGCGCAGGTCGCCTCCCTGCGCGACGTGGTGTCGAGCTTCAAGACGCGTGGCTGCGGCTCCGAGGTCGCGGCCCAGGCCGCCCCGGCGGCGGCGGGCGTCGAGGTCGTTGAGAGCCCGGCTCCCCCCACGAAGGCGGCCGCCCCGGCTGCGGGACCCGCGGAGGCCGTCGAGGAATCGTTCCCGATGGACGACGAGGAAGACGGCTTCGAGAGCTTCTGAGGCGGGGGCGAGGGTCCCCGGGAAATTATCTCACCCCGTGACGCCGATCCGAGCGTTCCGGGGTGTTTTTTTCGTCGATAGGTGTTCGGCATGTCGCTCATCAGCGAGAAACAGTTCGATGTGATCTCGCGCATCGCGCAGGAGCACTGGGGTCTGCATCTCACCGAGAAGAAGATGCAGCTTGTGAACAACAGGCTCGGGAAGTTCCTGCGCAAATCGCCCTTCGAGAGCGTCGACACCTACCTGGCGCACCTCTCGGGCTCTCCGAGCCGGGACGACCTGCTCGAGTTCTTCGACCTGCTCTCGACGAACGTGACGAGCTTCTTCCGCGAGATCCAGCACTTCAACTACCTGGAACGCGAGTTCTACACGGCGCTGTCGCGCGGGAACATCACCAAGCCCGGCAAGCGGATCCGGCTGTGGTCGGCGGCTTGCTCCACGGGGCCGGAGCCGTACTCGCTGGCGATCCAGGCGATGGAACTGATGCCGGAACTCCGCGAGTGGGACTTCAAGATCCTCGCGACCGACCTCTCGAACTCGGCGCTCGCGACCGCGAAGGCGGGGACGTACGCGTCATCGATGGTCGAGAAGGTGGACGCGAAAACCGTCGCGAAGTACTTCGACCGCGACTCGTCGAAGGGGCGGGTCCGGGTCAAGCCGTCGGTCCGGGAGCTCGTGACGATCCGCCGACTCAACCTGATGGAATCGTTCCCGGTGAAGGGACCGTTCGACGTGATCTTCCTGCGGAACGTGATGATCTATTTCGACAAGCCGACGCGCGAGCGTCTGGTGAACCAGATGTACCGGGTCCTGGGGCCGGGCGGGGTGTTCGTGATCGGCAGCGCCGAGACGCTCTCCGGCCTGGATACGCCGTTCAGGATGGTCCAGCCGGCCGTGTACGTGAAATAAGTGAGTGCCCGCATGCCCGTCACGCTCATCACACCCACATCGCCTGACACCGACGGCAGGATCGTCGTCGGCGTGGCGGACCTGGCGGTCTCGGACAACCCCGGGAGCGTCCTGATCACGCACGCGCTGGGCTCGTGCATCGGGGTGACGGTGTACGACCCGGTCGCGCAGGTCAGCGGGATGCTGCACTTCATGCTCCCGAGCTCCAAAACCAACGCCGAAAAGGCGAGGGCGAACCCCTCGATGTTCGGCGACACGGGCGTGCCGCTGCTGTTCCGCTCGGTGTACGAGCTGGGCGCGAAGAAGGAGCGTCTGGTTGTGTGCGCGGCGGGCGGGGCGGAGGTCATCGACGACGACGGCCACTTCAAGGTTGGCTCGCGGAACCGCCAGATCCTCCGGAAGCTCTTCTGGAAGAACGACATCCTCCTCGAGGCGGACGAGACGGGCGGGAACATCTCCCGGACGCTCTCGCTCCGCGCGAGCGACGGGAGCGTGGTGGTGCGGAACCGCGGGAAGGAGCGTGTGATATGGCCGGCGTGAAGGACGTGATCCGGCGTCTGGACGAGCTGCCGGCCCTCCCGGAATCGCTCGTCAGAGTCCGCTCCATGCTCTCCGGCGGCGACTACAACGTCGGCGAGCTGAGCGAGGTCGTGAAGCGAGACGAGGCGCTCGCGGCGGTCGTGCTCCGGTGCGCGAACTCCGCGTTCTACAAGACCGGGGGGTCGGTCTTCGATCTGAACCAGAGCATCGTGCGTCTCGGCGCGGCCGAGCTGATGCGGCTGGTGACGCGGACGGGCGTGAACAACCTGCTGGAATCCGGCGGCCGGAGCTACGGGCTGCGACGCGGGCACCTCTCGCGGAGCGCCGTGGGCGGCGCGGCCATCGCGCGGGCCCTCGCGAGCGAGACCGATGGCGTCGACCCCGAGCTGGCGTACACGTGCGCGTTGCTGCGCGACGTCGGCAAGCTGGTGATCGATTTGCACTCCGACGCCGAGGGGATCGACACGAGCGACCCGGACGAGTCGGACTTCGGGGAGGCGTGCTTCCTCGCCGTGGAGCGCGTGAAATTCGGCTTCGACCACACCGAGGTGGGCAGCGCGCTGGCCTCGCACTGGGGCCTGCCGGAGCCGATCCCGTCGAGCGTGGCGTTCCACCACGCGCCGCCCGAGCCGGGAACAGAAAACCACTCCGCCCTGTTCGACATCGTGCACGCGGCGGACATCGTGACGCTCTGGGCCGGCCTGGCCATCGGGCGTGACGGACTGGCGTACCGCGTCGCGCCGCACGTGCGCGACGGGATGCTGCACAAGCGTGCGCGGGTCGAGCGGCTGATCTCCGAGGCTTGGGACGCCGCGTCGCGTTTCGAGCGTGAACAGAACGATTCCGGGACCGATTCGAAGGAGGTGTCGGCGTGAGCTGCAACCTGCTTATCGTTGATGATTCGCCCATCCTGCGGACGGCGATCAAGAAGACCGCCCGCCTCGCCGGTGTGAAGGACGAGGACATCTCCGAAGCCGGCAACGGCAAGGAGGCGCTGGAGGTGCTGGAGAAGCACTGGGTGGACCTGATCCTGCTCGACCTGAACATGCCCGTGATGAACGGCGAGGAGTTCGTCGAAGCGCTCAAGCAGAGCGAGACGCACGCCTCGATCCCCGTGGTCGTCGTGAGCACGGAGAGCAACCGGGACCGCCTGTCCCGCCTGAAGGACCTCGGCGTCGTGGCGACGCTGCACAAGCCGTTCGAACCGGAAGACCTCTGCCACCTCATCAGCTCGACCCTTGGAGTGAAACTATGAGCACGATCACCCCCAGCACGCTCGCGGAACTCGTCGTCGAGGCGCTCGAGCGCACGGCGTTCCTCCTGACCGACGCGATGCCGCCCGAGGCGGAGTCGGAGTTCGACCGGCCGGCGTGGTTCTCGACGATCGGCTACCACGGCGCGTTCGCCGGCTCGGTGTACCTCGCCGCGAGCGACGGATTCGTGCGCGAGCTGGCCTCGAGCCTGCTCGGGATCGAGCCGGAAGAGGTCGACATGGAGAGCCAGGGACGCGACGCGATCAACGAGCTCGCGAACATCGTCGGCGGCTCGGTCACGCTCGAGCTGGGCAGCGAGACGCAGCAGTTCAGCCTCGGCCTGCCGGCGAAGGCCGAGCCCGGGTCGATCCCCAGGCCGGGCGAGCACACGACGCAGTGTTTCATCGAGTCCGAGGGCGAGCTGCTCGTCGTGACGCACGTGTCGGACGCGTCGTCGCAGAGAGCCGCCGCCTGAATTCTTACCCCGAGGGAGGTCTGTGCCATGACCGCAGGGCAACCCGACGTCGGCGTGCTGATCATCGACGATTCGTCGATCGTGCGCACGGTGCTCTCTCGTGAACTGGCGCGGGTGCCGGGCATCCGCGTGCTCGGGACGGCGCCGGACCCCTTCATCGGTCGGGACAAGATCCTGGAGCTCCGACCGGACGTGGTGACGCTCGACATCGAGATGCCGCGGATGGACGGGCTGACGTTCCTCCGCAAAATCATGAAGTACCACCCGATCCCGACGATCATCGTGAGCTCGCTCGCGAAGGCGGGATGCGACACGGCGATCGCGTGCCTGGAAGCGGGCGCGATCGATTGCGTGTGCAAGCCAGGGGAGGCCTATTCCGTGGGCGATCTGAGCACCGAACTGGCGCGCCTGATCAAGGGCGCGAAGGGCGTGAAACTCCGCGAGCCGGTCAAGGTCTCGAAACGGACACCGCTCGCGTCGACGGCGATGATCGAGACGACGAACAAGGTCTTCGCGATCGGCAGCTCGACCGGCGGAACGGAGGCCCTCAAGGAGGTGCTCACCCGCATGCCCAAGACGGCGCCGGGGATCGTCATCGTCCAGCACATGCCCGAGGGGTTCACCAAGTCGTTCGCGCAGCGGATGAACGAGCTGTGCGAGATCGAGGTGAAAGAGGGCGAGGACGGCGACTCGGTCATCCCCGGACGCGCGATCATCGCGCCGGGCAACCTGCACATGCGCCTGGCGCGGAGCGGGGCGAAGTACATCGTCCGGGTCGCGGACGGGCCGCGCGTCTGCCGGCACAAGCCGTCCGTCGAGGTCCTGTTCGAGACGACCGCGAAGTTCGCGGGGTCCAACGCCGCGGGCGCGCTGCTCACGGGCATGGGCGCCGACGGGGCGAGCGGATTGCTCACGATGCGGAAGGCCGGCGCGTTCACGATCGCGCAGGACGAGGCGACGAGCGTCGTCTGGGGCATGCCGGGCGAGGCCGTGAAGCTCGGGGCCGCGATGGAGGTCCTGCCGCTGGAGAAGGTCACGCAGCGGATGCTCGACTTTGCCGCGGGGAAGGTGACCGGCGAGAAGAAGGCCGCGTGAGGGCGTTGCCCAGCGGGCGAGTCCGGGGTCCAATGGGCTCATGGACAGGCTCAAGGTTTACAACTGGCTGGAACGCTCCCGCGCCCGCGTCCTCGAGGACGTGCGGTCGCTGGATGAATCGTGCTGGACGAGATCGTTCGAAATCGGCGCGGGCTCGCTCGAAGCGGTCCTGAAGCACTGCCTGATCGCGGAGTGGTACTACGACCACCGCATGCGAGAGGAGCCGCTCGGGCTCTACGAGACGTGGGAGGTCCGCGACGACACGCCGCTGACGTTCGCCGAACTGGAATCGAAGTGGGCGGCGCAGGCGGACTCGATGAAGCGCACGCTCGCGTCGATCACCGACTGGGACAAGGCGATCGAGTACGCGGTCCGCGACGACGAGGGGCGCGACCTGATCGTCTCGTGCACGCCCGAGGGCCTCTTCACGCAGCTCATCACCCACGAGCCCTACCACCGGGCGCAGGCGGTGAACATGCTGAAAAAGATGGGCGTGACGTGCGGGGAGCTGGACTACAACGCGATGGAGTTCCCTCGCCGGGCAGCCGGGGCTTGAGAGACTCGCTCAGGCCTCTCGCACCGTCCCGCCGATCACCATCGCCGAGGAGATGATCAGCAGATTCTTGACGATGTACTGCCCTTCCATCGTCAGGCCGTACGGAATCCGCCCCTCCTGAAACGTGACGCCGGGGAGCATCACCAGGGGCATGAACGTGCCGACCATCTG